AAAGGTAGCTGTAAAGCTATTATGTATTCGATTTTTTTGGAGTACCAGTATGTATAAGATAACCAAACAGACTAGTACATAACTGTTCTTTCTTTTCTTATTTACCAAGTTTCAGTATTAAACAAGGAAATCACTTCCTTTCCTTAAAAACCATGCTATTCTTCTTTTCTTTCCTTTCCTCTCCTCTATTAATTTTTATTCGGATATTAAATTTGGGAGTGTAGCCGGTGCTTAAATAAGATCGTATTATTTCTGTTGAGATTTTAGGTTAATCTATCATTGATGATTGTGAATCTAAATTAAGGGATTTAGAATACTGAAATTGGAGGACTGCAGTTTGTTTTGTCTTATATTCTCCCTAGACTCTCTATGTATAGGCTTTTGTCCAATTTGAAGTTGAGGTAATTAGCCTATATCAGTAATCTGTTTAGCGTGCTTTTTGATAGTCAGCAGTTGTTTGTATTTTGAGGTTCTGGGTAGATGTCAGGGGTCAGGATACAGTGGCCAGGAGATCCACCCAGCACAAAGGCCCATGAAAAGCCATTTCCAGCCTATTACATCTTTGCACACCTTTTACCAGATGCAATGTGCAAGATGGCTCCAAGATCCCTTTTTGGTAGGACCATTGGACGGGTGATTGTCTCTTAGTACATAATTTCCCTGTTTACTTCAGATTTCTCATGCCATAAAATGCCAACTAACCAGTTTTCTCCATCACCGTTGGCAATGTAAGTTGGAACTTACCCTTTTTTCCGAAACTTGGATGACAGAAACTGAAGAACTCATCACTCTTTTAAGCCTTTTTAGAATCCTTCCAGCCATCGCAACAGCCAGATACTAGGATATGCTCTCTAGATAGATTTGGCCACATTTCATTGTACATATTTGATTGTTATCACAACCTTTTTCCAAGGCTTTACGGCAAGTCAATGATCCTTCAAAAGGTGACGCTGTTTGCATGGATTGTAGTTTTGAATTAAAGACCAATGAGCTGTTCCAAGCTTGAAAAACTTAATCGAGCTTTGTCTCCAGGCATATGTGTGATGTGCCATAAAGGAGGGGAAATACATAACCATTTCTTCCTTCAATGTTGAGGTGGCCTAGAGATTATGGATGAGGTTGTATGACACATTTAACCTTCCTTGGATAGTGCATCCATCATTGGAATATTTTATATACCCTAGCATTAGAGGAGTTGAGTTCTGAAGAAAGCCCGACTTTATGGCAAGGAGCATTGTTCACAAGCCTATGGACTATTTGGCGGGAAAGAAGGCAATATATTTTTTATAATCGATTTTTTCTGGTTGATATATTGTGGGAGAAAATGACTTTTTTGGCATCCATATGGGCCAAGGGTTATGGACAAGTTTATGATATTTCTCTTACTATCCTTCACACAAATTGGGAAGCAATTATCACCTGATGACCATGGTTCTTTCTTGGCCTGGGTGCTGTTTTTTTGTTCTTTGTTTATTTAGCTTCTTTCTCAGTTGGATATCTTATCTGCTGGTTTTATATTACTCGCTTCTCTATCTTAACAAAGTTTTCTTCTCTATATAAAAAAAAGCAAATATCAAATTTAACATCATGCATGCATGTATCTCAAGTCTATATTAAATCTTAATTAAGTGTTTTGGTACATGCAGAATTCAAAGTTTCTTCAATTTGTTTCAAAGATGAGTCGCGGTGAACTTATCATTGATGACAATCAGGTCAAACCGGCTACTACATCGGGGGATTGGGCAACTGAATATCAAACAACAGTATAATGGGCCCTTCTACTTGGGCCGATGAATTTACACGTGCTGAGGCAAGTACAAAATTTTGTGAAGCATACTTTTCCTATGTCGACTCTATATCAAAATAAATGCTTGAGGATATATCACTTCGCTTGTTATAGAAAAAAGTATAATATATGTATAAAATAAATATTTTTATATATAGGTGGCAACCGCTTGGTGCTCGTTAATATACTTTAATACTTTTTATTTCAAAAAAATTATGTGTAAATAGCACAAAAAAAGATGCGATCCATATATAAAATTATTTACAGTTCAACCAAAATATCAATTAAGTCCTCCAAATCCTCTTTAGACTATAGCAGGTGACCCTTGATAAAGGCCTAAAGACTTGGAATCAAGAATATTTAATTTTGTCAAAGGAGAATTTTATCTCTTTGAAAGCCCTTTTGTTATGGATGTATTTATAAGGTTTAAATAAGAAGTTGAAGTCCAATTAAATATTGAACACTAATTAGTATTAGATTCGTAAAGTAAATAGTAAACATGGAATCATAATTAGTATTAAATTCTTAAATAACTTATACTTTCTCATTAATATTGGATTTCTAAATAGTATAGGATTTCTAATATTTAAATCGAGTATTTCTAATTAGATTTGTATTTCTAATTAGATTAAATTTTTTAAATAAAATTTATAACATACATATAAAGGGGTATGCTTGTTATTAATAAAGATAAGTTAGAATATTATTTTAAATTACGAGATTGGAGCTCTTTCTAACAAAGTCTAAGGTTGCAGCTCTCTTTGATGAGCTGTAATGTATTTCCACAAAATAGGTTGTTCAAGGAATTGTAATAAAGAGAAGAACTAGATTTTGGAACTGAAAATTCTAGAGAACCTCCCAGTGATAAGATCCTGGTCTTGGGAGAAGAACACCTCTCGTTCCTCTTTTTTCAAAGTACTTAAAAGTAGCCAGAGGAATAAGCTATACAATTTGCTTATAATTTTAGATGCCTTTCTGCACCCAAACACTGCTAGCTATGACCCAACTCAAACCCAGAAGGTTGAAAATGAACACTAGAGATGATGAGCATATGGACATGAGAGGAAGATTTGGTTATGTGTCTTTGCATTCTCCTCACACAAATAACTTCCGTTTACTGGGTTTTTACCCCTCTTGATGGGTTGTCTAGGTTCGGAATAGGTTCTCTGGCAAATTGCCAGCCAAAAAACCCTTTTAGGGAGTTGCATCCTTAGAAGCCAACGACATACAATAACTCCCTTATGAACATATCTTACAACTTTTATTGTATTGTGTTATTCAAAAAACAACTCTTCTCAAAATCTCAAAAAACGCCTAGTTAGATCCCATTTTAGCTGAGGATTCATATGTTTTCAGAGGCTCCGACCACAAGAGACAAGGAGCGGAGAGCTTCCACTCCCCTCCCTCTCCGAACCCAACTCTTTCAGATGTTGGTTTTAAGGAGTTATTGTCATTCTCAAAAGTCAGCCTAACCTAAGAGCAAACATATTAAGCATTCCACTTATTAAATAATCTTGATAGGAAATTTTTCCACATCAATCTTGATGGGAAATTTTTGCTACCTATCTAACTTCTAGTCAAATGACGTTACTGAAAAGATCCTCCTAAGGCTAAGGTTCCATATTATTCATCTTTAGCACCCTAAAGAGCCACATCTGAGAGAAGGAAGTGAGAAGACTTGTGTATTAATTAATCTCCTAGTCATTAAAGTTCCTAGTTATTCGACAACCTATTTGCTCAGATAATTGAATCCCACAAAGGAATCCTTAACCTATTCTCGAGCTAAGGCAAAAATAGTAGGGATTTGTTGAGATAGGGGCCCACCCTCGAACAAATCATCTTTTTAGAAGCTTACCTTTGCATCGGACCCCAACCTCCACTTAATGTGCCTTGAGAAAGTGTCTCTGCCCATATTAATTTTCTTCCATAACCGAACACCATGTGGCCTTCGTGGATATTTTACAAGTCAGCCAGCTTTATCTAGCCCGAATTTGGCCGCTATCACTATCTTCCACAGGCTATCCCTCTCCTCAAGAATCTTCACAGCCACTTATCTTGAAGATCTAAGTTGAATTCTACCAAGCGTCTCGCTCTTAGCCCTCCCTTCTGAAGCGGACATTTCACTAGGTTGCTAGCCAGTAAGTGATATCACTTTTTTTTCATTAGAATCCCTCGATAAGAATCTAAGTTGAATTGCCTTCAACCTTTTTGTCACATTCATAGGGATAGTGGTCGAGGACACGCAGTGAATAGGAAATAAGCCAAGACAATCTCGATCAGAGTCAACCTGTTGTCTTTATAAAATAAACCCCTCTTTCACCCAGCGAACCGAGCTTCAGCACATTACCTCTTATGACCGTGGACAGTAGCAATGACAATCTTGTGTGGGAACAATACAAGAGCATTGACCAAGTTAGAAGACGTGGGCGCTAGTTTCTTGCTTAGACAGATTTGGAAGGTTAAAGTTCCGCCGTGTGTATCTTGTTTTTGTATGGGAGGCTGGTAGGAAGTGCATCTTGACGATCGACAAGTTAATGAGACGGGGAAAGGTAATGGTGAATGCATGTTATCTTTGCAAAAGGACCAAGGAGACTTGTAACCATGTGCTTCTATGGTGTCTGGTGGTGTATAGATTTTGGACTATGGTGTATGAGCTTTTAGGAATCAATTGGGTAATAGCTAGCTCGGCTTGAGATGAATCTTTTGTGTGGACTCGAAAGAGATGAACAGAAGAGCGCTTGAAGACATATATGTTGTTAATTATTTTGACTTGATTAAAAAGAGGTGGTTCTAAATCCTTGGATTTTTGTTATTTGGTCATCTCTAAACTCAATGGAGGATTTAGAGAATCTTACTGATATTTTGTTAGATTTGTAAATACTTTATATACGGTTTGGCTCTCCTTAGTGGCACATATTAATACACTTTTCACCCTTTATATTTCAAAAAAAGAAATTAATTGCAATAGGGCTTGTTGAGCTATTATTTGAGAAGGGGTAGTTGAACTGAGTATCCATGTTTTTGAATATTCATGTTCTCAAGTCATGTCTTGATTTATTCTCAATGATCAGTTTGCCATTACTTATGCTCCTAATGTTTACTGGTTTTTAGCTCTCAAATGGACCAGATCAGTGGGTGAATGAGTTTTCTACTGAGAGGGAGCTTCATAGTTCAGGTGATGATCAATGGGTAAATGAGTTCTCAAAGTTACATGTTAATGACTGGGCAGAAGAATTTGGGCGTCAGGTTGATGAAGGAGTTTTGGGTGATGATTCAGCTGATAATTGGGCAACTGCTTATGATGAGTAAGTCCATTTGACTTGTTAAATACATAATTCATTGCTAACTGCATTTATTTATTTATTCTTTTTGTTCACCCCATATCCCAAGTTTGTGTCCAAAATTAACCTTTGTATACTCAGCCTGTTGCTATTAAGTATGTAGCAACCACTCAGAAATTATTGTTAGTCTGGGTGGACCTTTTGTCATTTCCTTTTGATATATGTTTATTTCTATCTTGCATTTTTTGTTTATTTTGTGTTCCTTTATTGTTCGAATTTGGGTGCAAATGTCAAGTTTGGGTATGGATCATGTCCAACTTGATAGTTTTTGTTGTCAAGGATACCAGGACTCTATGTATAAGAGTTCATAAATCGGTACGGGTATTTGGATTCT